CACATCTTTTCTACATGGTGGCGACCAAAACTGAATGCAGTATTCCAAGTGTGGCCTTGCCAAGGCATTATAAAATGGTATTAACACAAGTTACCCTGATACATTCCTATAATGAGAAATCATGGATAGCCCACTGTCAATTAAAACAATTATTTTTTTATTAATAATGTTAAAGCCACAATCTGATATTTTGCATTAAGCTGTGGGTTGCTGGAGAACTGCCAGTACAGTCATATTCAAAGCTCCACCTTACCGACTTTTGCATTCATGCATGTGCATACGTACATACAATAGCTTTAGAAGGCAAAGCAAATTAAATTCATCAGGTCTGTCTAATTCTCAATTCCCAGATGGACAACGACGTTTATATGGGAGCCATCAAAACAACACTTTGATTGTTTTGAGTCCAATCAGCCAAATACTAATTTGAGACTGGATAAACTGAAAGGTTCCGGTAGTAATATTTTCTGACACTCAAGAATTTTCACGTTCAGTACAGCACTTGATGATATTATCCAATTGGACAATGGAATATCTGCACACAACCAAGCTCAGAAAGCAGTATTCAAAATATGGCCGTCGCTTCTGAACTGCCAACTCCTTCAGCTATTCAGGAAAGCTCCATGTGGGGACGCTCTTATTTCATTCACTCTTAAATCCGTGATGGCACACAGGGATAAAGACACAGAGCTTGTAAGCTGGAAAGCTCACAGCCCGAGTTCGAGACCTGAGCGCCTCAAGAAGGAGCTCTTGTTCCTTGCCCCAGCTCCTGCCCACGTAGCAGCTCGAAAGCATGTAAAAGCAAGTAGATAAATAGGTACCACTTCAGGGGGAAGGTAACAGGGTTCTGTGCGCCTTTGGTGTATAGCTATGCTGGCTACAGAACCACAGAAAATGTCTTCGGACAATGCTGGCTTCTTTGGCCAAGAAACGGAGATGAGTAACATCGCCTAGACACAACTGAAAGGAGAAACCTTTGCCTTTTTACCTAATCCTTGACTACCAAGCAAATTTTTTTTCCATGTAACAATTGCCTGGAAAAGGCAGATTTTTTCCAAAATGTTCAGACTTAACTCACATATGCTGCTGAAGCTCAGAAAGGTCACTACCAGCTCTCCCAGAAGCAAGTAAGGTGCGCCTGGTCTTGCTCACCTCAGCACCTTCTATCCTACAGATGTCTCTCTTTGGGGGGGTACTCAGAATTTCATGTAGAATTTGAAAGAGAAATCTAATTGCAAACATTGAGAACTGGTCTAAGGACCTTTGTTTTTTCCCCTTCAGTTTTTTCATTTGGATTTTTTCCCCCCTAAAACAAAACCTTGAAGGCTAAAATCAAGGCAAATGAGGCTCCTTTATCAAGAGACTGTATTATTTTTGTTATGGTGTTTTTTAAAAATTTGGTCAAAGGAGCGGGGAAGAGAATTAGGTACACACAGAGGCACATATTTTCCACTGCAGTTATTTTGCAAGCCGTTTAACCACATATCTGCTGTTATCTTTTCCCGTCTGTATTTTTTTTTTTTTTGCCCAAAGCAAGACAGGCTTTCTTTCAAAAGTAGATAGCCTTCCACTGTTGCTGCTGGGTATATTGGGATTAAATTTTCCATGATGTACAAGCATTGGTCATGTTACATGGGAATCACATAAGCTGTTCCCCTAACAAACACAGTGGGCAATAAATTAGAAAAGACTATTTTGAGAGCAATGAACATGGATCCTGTGGCCAGCAGGGTGATGGCACATCACTGCACAGGCATCCCAATTTACCTGGACTCTGAATGTGCAAAGAGTTTTTGGCTTCTGTCCAATGTTCATCCCCTGAAGAGAGATGCGTTTGATTGGGGGGGGGGGGGGGGGGGGGGGGAGGTCGGTGGGAAGTTTTACACTGAAAATGCCTACTTTGGCTCAGTGGTACCTGTCAATGGGCGCTAGAGATTATACCAAAGATAGCACAGGACAGGAGATTATATTTGTGGCGAAGTCATTGGAAGACATTCAAATGCCATTGAAAGTGACTATATTTGACTTCTGATCCCTGTGTTTTTTTTTTTTCTTTTTTGAATCTGGAGTTTCCCTGACTAGGCAAATGCCATAAGCCATTTGCCTCACCATCCGGGTAAGATGCTCAACACTCAACTTAGCTCTGAGGTTACGTAGCTGAAATATCAAAAATCTATGAGCTGGGAGAGGTTGTGCACTAGCCCTTCCAATGCCATTGCAAAGCATTCGACTCGAGAAACACACCCGTCCAACGACACCACCAGAAAGCCATTCCTTCGGTAGCTAAATCAACATCATGATTAACTCAACTTTTCCCCGTCAAGAGGCTGCCTCTGCCACTTGGTTGCAGTCACAAGCGAACAACAAAGCTTCAGCGACTAATTGGTAGCTTTGAAGAATCAGCTTGGAGTGAACGATGGCCTCAAGTTTCCTTGGTTTATAGCATCCTCACTATGCACTATAGCTTCCTCCTATCCTGCATCCACTCGGACTTGCCGGTAAAAACAGGCTGTTAAAATAATTTCCAACATTTATACAAGCCAACGTTAAAAACATCTTTGTAACCCCTTCAAGGGGAGATTCCCCTCCCTCTACAGTGCACAGAAAACAGCTACCTTTCCCACATTTGATCAGCTTTGCCCACTGCCAATGCAATCCTAAGTGGCTCGTTGCCAAATACTAGACTAAGCTTCAAAGGTTTTCTTCCCCCAGATTTAACTGCAATCCAAAATTTCAGAAACTGAAGTTGTAAGATTACAGAAAAGGACAAGGTCTTTGTTGCCCCTTAACGAAGGTCTGCCTTCTCCAAACCTTTCCTAGCATTAAACGTTAGGTGTGAAAACCCTTCCCTTCTGTGATCCTTTGCTTCTTCTGGCTGGGGACGGTGTATCTTCTTAGTAGGCAGGCCACTGATATCCTGATCTCTTTCCCACGGAGAAGCTGAGTTGGAAAAAAAAACTCTTTCTACATAATTCGAGGGCTAAGCGTAGCAAAGGAAGATGGGGATTTTGGTCATTTGCTTATTCCCAGTCCGTGGGCGGACGAAGGGTTAGGGGGGCTGCGTTCTTGCGCCCGGCCCGGATTCCTGGGTAGAAGAAAGGCCAAAGTTTCTCGGTAAAAATGTCGGTAAAAGTGTACATATGGGAACGGTCCGTCACGTTGTAGAAGGAGAGTTTGCCTGCCTCGTAGTCCAGGAAGATGCCCACTCGCTTAGGCTTGACACTGATGTGCAGCGGAGTAAAGGGGTTTGTGGTAGCCGCGTATTTGTCTCCATTGAGTAGCCGTACCCGCCAATAGCCAGTCTCCGGGAGAGAGGTTGTCTCCCCTTTACGGCTTACCGAGTTCTTACAAACCCCCAGGGCCCAATGAGTCTTTTCCCCCACCTCTACTTCCCAGTAGTGACGGCCTGAAGTAAAACCTACTGTGGCCAGCACACAAGGATAGATTGTAAAACGTTTCGGGCTATCGGACAGATCTCGCAAGCGCTGCTCCACAAACTTGACGCTCTTGCGGTCCTCGGAGACCACTAAGTTGGGGTGAGCTGTTTCCGTGTCGAGGGTCAAATCTCCTGCAGGGGAAATAAAAAAGGACATATATTCATCTCTGCCATTTCTCTCATGATTAGACTATTACAGTATATCCTCTCTTCATTTGGCTCCTTTTGTCCCCCCCTCCCGATTATTTGGATTGTAGCCATTAAAAGTCTTTTAAGATCTGGTTTTTGCTATCAATTCCCCAGCCTTCCTCAATAGCAACATTTAGCAGGTTCTTTTACACAATGAAATGAGGCTGCAAATAAAATAAAAAAAATAGAAGCATCCACAACCGATACATGTACAATCTCTAAATAGGCTTGGACTTCCATAGAGTCATCTTAATTCTCCATAGTCCAGGGGTCTCCAACCTTGGCAATTTATGGACTTCAACTCCCAGAATTCCCCAGCTAGCATGGCTGGCTGAGGAATTCTGGGAGTTGAAGTCCACAAATCATAAAGCTGCCAAGGTTGGAGATCCCTACTACAGTCCTCACCCAGAAGTCACCTGGAAGCTACTTATTTCACTTTATAGAACAACAACTCTATGAAATGGAGAGCTGTTACTTTACGATTGCCTTGCCGCCTTCAACCTCTGGAAGCTGGCAAAATACCTTGCAACCTTCAGAAGCATAAAAGACTCAGAAAATAAATGTAAAACATTTGCCAGGTGCAACAGACACATTAGAGTGAGGACATAGAGGGTCCTCACCCACAGACAACCCTCTCCCCTTTTCAATGTGTGTTGTCAGCTCACAAAGCTTTCCTGACCTGCTCCCTAGTTGCCTTAGGCAGGGGGATGGGAAATTGCACTTCACAGCTGCACTGAGGAATTCACATCTCAGTCAAAACAAAATACATCCTAGCCAGCTGAAGTCAAGGCCATCTCCACGGAGACCCGCAACAGCCAGAGGGAGTGACTTCTATGACCCATGAAGACCCATGAAATTGCTTCGTTGGGGAATGTGACTGGTGACCCACCGTGGAGTCAGAGCTGGCTTCGTGCCGACATGACGCTCCTAATAAACAACTGGATTTTTCTTGCAGAATGGCTTGCAACTCCTAATTTTATTAGAACATGGGTTGGAACCTTGACGTGTGTCTTACTTTAGGAAAGTCGAGAGACAACTACGACACAAATTGGGTGGGGTGCAAGCAAGCACACAACTCTGTATACTCCGATCCCAATACCAAAAGATTCCTCACTTTTTGATTCTTTTTTTATTAGAAATGCATTAGAAGGCAGTGCATCTTCTAAAGTACCAATAAAATATATTCTGCCAAGTGAATCCCAGTTACCAAGCTAGGAGATATTTTGGTCACTGCTTAGCAGATATTTTGATTTCTACCTGCTGTTTCCAAGTAGAATACAAGAGCCCAAGGAAGGGCAATGTGTGAGTTGTGCTGTTTGTGAGATTTGTCCAACTATTAACAGAAGCCAAACAGTGGTGTTAACTTAAGTATCAAAGGACACCAATCAATTCCGAATTCCACCAATTGTTTTTTAAAACCAAGCATTACTTTTTTTAGATCTTTTCATTCAAAAATTAAACAATAACAATCTAGGATGTTTCTATATTTTCAAGTAAATTGCTTGAAAATATTTTTCTTAAAGTATACTCCCCTCCCCACCCCCAAGACCCTGCTGCTAGTTTGGATGCCTTCGTTCCACATTACCTAGGAGAAAATGAACCATGGTTTGATCCAGCAAGGTAAAAACTGCTTATTTACCTATACTTTCAGTTCTCTTGAGTGGCCCTCTGTGAATTCAGAAATATAAATTATAGCAGCCATGCAGGCATTATGTTTGGATTATTGCATACCTAGGATTTTAAGCAAAAGTGTATCCTTATACCAATAGGCATCTTTAGATGCAAATGTCACCTGTCTCATCAATTTCAACATAACCCAATGATGCCAACCAATATGATTGGCACCAGAACAGAATGCACTGCAACACTAGCAGATAAACCACTCCGATAGATAATTATGGGTAAGAAACACAGCTCTTCATCTGTGATTCACAAACACAATGATTTATAAACCTTGTACTTAGTGTAGAAGTAAGTGCTCAGAAAAGCTGAGGTGAGGAAAAGAGGAGACTTTTCTGGAGTTAATAACTAATAGTATCTCATAAACATTGATAACTGAGATGAAAGCTACTTGGCATTATGACTAGAAGTAGCATATTTGAGAAAAACAACAGAATGTGACACTGTCTTGATAAGGGGTGTCACACTTAAGGCCCATGGGCCTGATCCGGCCCATGGGGTACTTAGATCTGGCCCCGCGGGGCCATCCTGGAAACAGTAACAGACTTGTCCCCAGTGCTTCTGCCAGTGAAAACAGAAAAGGACCAGCAGACGGCCCGCCCGAGTTTTGTTTTCACTGGCAGAGGATTGCAGGAGGCTGTGGCAGCTGAAAACAGAGCTCAGAAGCCCATTTTCGTTGGCATCACAGGTGCCTCCAACAAGAGTGACGTTGAGCTGGCCACACCCACTCTTGCCATGCCCATCTTGAGACCCCAGGGTCAAACACAACTCTGATGCGGCTCTCAATGAAATCCAGTTTGACACCTCTGATCTTGATGAACTGACTTCACACTGACTTCACACTCAATTGCTTTGCTATCACAGAACAAAGCTTCAGAATTTCAAGAATGCATTTCCATAGCAGTGGGTCCTTCATTCCTTCCTTCCTTCCTTCCTTCCTTCCTTCCTTCCTTCCTTCCT